TCGCGACGTTCCCTTGGCCCGACGTCATGAACGAGCCGAGCCTCCAGGACATCATCGTCTTCGTCTTCGAGCACCGCACGGTCGGCGGCCGCCTCGGCCGCGAGTTCCGGAGCGTGCTCCAGATGCCGGAGACGCGCGTGACCTTCGACGGCGTCGAGCTCGCGCCGGGCGCGCTCCAGTCGCCCCTGAACCGGAGCCTCATGCAGCCGCCGGCCCTGCACACGCAGGAGGGCGAGCCCATCGTCATCGCCGTGCTCTCCGACGAGTTCGGCGAGCGCTTCCGGCGGGACCTGGCGCCCGCGGACGAGCTCGGCACGTTCCTCGTGCTCGCCAAGGACTCGCACGGCCCGCTCTGGGACCTCCTCCGGTGCCCCGCGGCCGACAACCACGCCTCCGTCAAGGACGCCGTCGAGGACGTGTTGGAGATGCCCGGCGCCCTCGACGAGGCGGGCGCGTCCGTCTCCTTCTGCCAGGGCCGGCCCGAGCACGCCGAGGACTACCACACGCACTTTGCGCACCTCGTCGACGGCCAGTTCGTCGGCGAGACGCACCCCATCGAGGACCCCGCGAGCGTGTCCGTCGCCTACCTCACGCAGCGCAGCGAGCTGGCGCGCATCGGCGATCCGCCCTTTGCGTGCGTCGTCGCCGACTTCCCCGCCTCGACGCTCCGCGCGGGGACGCGCCTCGACGTCGCGATCTTGCACGGCGACGACAAAAAGGACCTGCTCAAGTTCGACCTCGTCGTGCGCATGAAGCTCCCCCAGGTCATCGCGCAATGGGTCGGACAGGGCATCGAGCCGACGATCCACCGGCTCCACGCGGGCGGCGAGATCTCCGAGATGATCTACGACAATCTGTGCGACGACGTCGTCTGCGAGATCGAAGAGGCGCGGTCCATCCGCATCGCCGTCGACGGCGGGCCGGAGCGCCAAGTCGACTACGACGACCACCTCGGCGCGCTCCTGGGTCCGTCTCCGCCCGAGCGCGTCGCCGTGACGGTCTGGCTCGACGACCGGCGCAAGAAGGTCCCGCGGACGCAGTGGACCAAGCTCCAGCACGGCTGCTGGGCGACCATGGCCAAGGAGCGGGTCATGCGCGGCGAGTTCATCTACAAGCTCGACTGCTGGAAGCGGCTCACGGTGTCGGGCACGGCCCTCGCGAGCGTCTACTGCCTCGGCGAGAGCGCGTTCCTCGAGGTCGGCGTCGCGCTCGGCCTCTTCCCCTGGCCCGCGGGCGGCGACGTCGACGACGAGGCCCTGTCCAAGATCTTCGACGGCCTCACGATCGCGGCGAACCACTCGGCCGCGGCGCGCAGCAGCAGCTGGGCGATCCTCTACAAGAACCACGCGGGCTTCCCGACGGCGCGGCACCCGGACATGGACCAGCCCCTCCACTCGGGCACGCTGTCGCTGCTGAAGCTGCTGAAGCTCCCCGAGCTCCTCGCCGTCGCGACGACGTGCGCGGACGCGCCGGCGGCGCGGCGCAAGCTCGTGCTGGGCCTCGTGGGCCTCGCGGCGCGCGCGGAGCCCTCGGAGCCCGCGGCGTTCAGCCGCGGGCGCCAGCCGTCCGTCGTCGTCGTGCTCCTCTCCGTGCTGAGCGCGGCGGCCGCGGGCAACAAGCCGTCCTGCGCCCTCTTCGGCGAGACCTTCGACACGCGGCCCCTGCTCGACGCGCTCGGCCGCCTGCCCGTCGCGCTCCTCGAGGACGTCAAGCTCGACTGGCGCGCGTACGAGCCGGAGCAGCGGTCGGCCTTCGAGCGGGCGCTGCTCGAGCTCCTCGTGCTCTGGCACCTCGTGCGGCCGAGCGAGACCTACGCGTCGCACGTCGAGCTCGCGGCGACGGTCGAGGGCCACGACGCGTACCGCGGCGCGGGGGCGGCCTTTGCGCTGCAGCTCCAGCTGGAGCTCAACAAGGTGCCGCGCGCCAAGGAGGCGAGCCTGCGGTTTCGCCGGACGCTCCAGCGCAAGCACGCGCCCGAGGCGGTCCTGGCGTTCGCGTCGGCGAACGTCCCCGCGGGCGCCGCGCGGGGCAGGAAAAGAGAGCGAAATTCCCAACTTCAAAGGCTCTTAGCTCGACCGTTTCCCACTCGTTTCGGCTGATTTTTGGACGAGCGATCATCCCTTGGAACGGTCTCGAAGCGTGGATGCTGTTTCCGGAACGCGCGCGCGCGGAACACTCACGTTGAAGCGACGTCGAATCTCTCTTTTCCCGCCCAGGCGCCGCGCGCCTCGCGGAGCTCTTCGCGGCGCCGCTGGGCTTTCGCGGCGGCGGCGGCGACGGGCCGCCCCCGGCGGAACACGTCGCCCTCGTGGCCTTCGCCGGCGCCGCGAACGGCGGCGCGGCGGACTTCCTCGACGACTTCGGCGCGCCGCCCGCGAAGGGCGCCGGCGCCGCGGCGAAGAAGAAGAAGCGGAGCCGCGGCGGCGGCAAGAAGAAGCCCCCGAAGAAGGCCGAGGTCCGCGAGCCCGAGCCGGCGGCGCCGCCGTCGCCGCCGCGGCCCGCGGCCGTGTCCGAGTCGAGCGACAGCGACGCGTCCGACAGCGACAGCGACCGCGCCGCGGCCGCGGCGCCGCCGCCGCCGCCG